GAAGTTTGTATTGCGTCCATTTTCTTGTAGGTATAACATCACTTACAACCACGCGAATAAAGGAGGTATCCGCTGTACACTGGTAAAGACAACTCAGAAATAGTACATAGTAAAACAGGAATCGTATGAATTCGATCATTAATAAAAGCTCTGGAATCACTAGTATAGAACCTAACGAACACGAATAATTTAATCCAATAAAATTTAAAAGATCGATACCATGAACAAAAAACGCCTGTACGTGAGGTTACAAGGGATTAGAACTTTGATTTATAGAAGTATAACCATCGTGGTTATCCATACCATTTTCTGTATGTTATATAATATCTGAAATTTTACTAATTTTCTCATCTGGTTTACACCATAGTGACACACAAACACGAAATTTTAAGTCCTCGTGAAAATTTACTTGTTTTTTAGACATCATTTCATCATGGTTATACATACCATTTTCCGGTATGTTATATAATATCTGAAATTTTACTAATTTTCTCATATGGTTTACACCATAGTGACACACAAACACGAAATTTTAAGTCCTCGTAAAATTTACTTGTTTTTAGACATCATTTCATCATGGTTATACATACCATTTTCCGGTATGTTTTATAATCTCTGAAATTTTACTAATTTTCTCATCTGGTTTACACCATAGTGACACACAAACACGAAATTTTAAGTCCTCGTAAAATTTACTTGTTTTTAGACATCATTTCATCATGGTTATACATACCATTTTCCGGTATGTTTTATAATATCTGAAATTTTACTAATTTTCTCATATGGTTTACACCATAGTGACACACAAACACGAAATTTTAAGTCCTCGTAAAAATTTACTTGTTTTTAGCCATCATTTCATCATGGTTATACATACCATTTTCCGGTATGTTTTATAATCTCTGAAATTTTACTAATTTTCTCATCTGGTTTACACCATTGTGTCGCACAAACACGAAATTTTAAGTCCTCGTAAAAATTTACTTGTTTTTAGCCATCATTTCATCATGGTTATACATACCATTTTCCGGTATGTTTTATAATATCTGAAATTTTACTAATTTTCTCATCTGGTTTACACCATAGTGACACACAAACACGAAATTTTAAGTCCTCGTAAAATTTACTTGTTTTTAGACATCATTTCATCATGGTTATACATACCATTTTCCGGTATGTTTTATAATCTCTGAAATTTTACTAATTTTCTCATCTGGTTTACACCATAGTGACACACAAACACGAAATTTTAAGTCCTCGTAAAATTTACTTGTTTTTAGCCATCATTTCATCATGGTTATACATACCATTTTCCGGTATGTTTTATAATCTCTGAAATTTTACTAATTTTCTCATCTGGTTTACACCATAGTGACACACAAACACGAAATTTTAAGTCCTCGTAAAATTTACTTGTTTTTAGCCATCATTTCATCATGGTTATACATACCATTTTCCGGTATGTTTTATAATCTCTGAAATTTTACTAATTTTCTCATCTGGTTTACACCATAGTGACACACAAACACGAAATTTTAAGTCCTCGTAAAATTTACTTGTTTTTAGACATCATTTCATCATGGTTATACATACCATTTTCCGGTATGTTTTATAATCTCTGAAATTTTACTAATTTTCTCATCTGGTTTACACCATAGTGACACACAAACACGAAATTTTAAGTCCTCGTAAAATTTACTTGTTTTTATCCATCATTTCATCATGGTTATACATACCATTTTCCGGTATGTTTTATAATCTCTGAAATTTTACTAATTTTCTCATCTGGTTTACACCATAGTGACACACAAACACGAAATTTTAAGTCCTCGTAAAATTTACTTGTTTTTAGCCATCATTTCATCATGGTTATACATACCATTTTCCGGTATGTTTTATAATCTCTGAAATTTTACTAATTTTCTCATCTGGTTTACACCATAGTGACACACAAACACGAAATTTTAAGTCCTCGTAAAATTTACTTGTTTTTAGACATCATTTCATCATGGTTATACATACCATTTTCCGGTATGTTTTATAATATCTGAAATTTTACTAATTTTCTCATCTGGTTTACACCATAGTGACACACAAACACGAAATTTTAAGTCCTCGTAAAATTTACTTGTTTTTAGACATCATTTCATCATGGTTATACATACCATTTTCCGGTATGTTTTATAATATCTGAAATTTTACTAATTTTCTCATCTGGTTTACACCATAGTGACACACAAACACGAAATTTTAAGTCCTCGTAAAATTTACTTGTTTTTAGCCATCATTTCATCATGGTTATACATACCATTTTCCGGTATGTTTTATAATCTCTGAAATTTTACTAATTTTCTCATCTGGTTTACACCATAGTGACACACAAACACGAAATTTTAAGTCCTCGTAAAATTTACTTGTTTTTAGCCATCATTTCATCATGGTTATACATACCATTTTCCGGTATGTTTTATAATATCTGAAATTTTACTAATTTTCTCATCTGGTTTACACCATAGTGACACACAAACACGAAATTTTAAGTCCTCGTAAAATTTACTTGTTTTTAGACATCATTTCATCATGGTTATACATACCATTTTCCGGTATGTTTTATAATATCTGAAATTTTACTAATTTTCTCATCTGGTTTACACCATAGTGACACACAAACACGAAATTTTAAGTCCTCGTAAAATTTACTTGTTTTTAGCCATCATTTCATCATGGTTATACATACCATTTTCCGGTATGTTTTATAATATCTGAAATTTTACTAATTTTCTCATCTGGTTTACACCATAGTGACACACAAACACGAAATTTTAAGTCCTCGTAAAATTTACTTGTTTTTAGCCATCATTTCATCATGGTTATACATACCATTTTCCGGTATGTTTTATAATATCTGAAATTTTACTAATTTTCTCATCTGGTTTACACCATAGTGACACACAAACACGAAATTTTAAGTCCTCGTAAAATTTACTTGTTTTTATCCATCATTTCATCATGGTTATACATACCATTTTCCGGTATGTTTTATAATATCTGAAATTTTACTAATTTTCTCATCTGGTTTACACCATAGTGACACACAAACACGAAATTTTAAGTCCTCGTAAAATTTACTTGTTTTTAGACATCATTTCATCATGGTTATACATACCATTTTCCGGTATGTTTTATAATATCTGAAATTTTACTAATTTTCTCATCTGGTTTACACCATAGTGACACACAAACACGAAATTTTAAGTCCTCGTAAAATTTACTTGTTTTTAGACATCATTTCATCATGGTTATACATACCATTTTCCGGTATGTTTTATAATCTCTGAAATTTTACTAATTTTCTCATCTGGTTTACACCATAGTGACACACAAACACGAAATTTTAAGTCCTCGTAAAATTTACTTGTTTTTATCCATCATTTCATCATGGTTATACATACCATTTTCCGGTATGTTTTATAATCTCTGAAATTTTACTAATTTTCTCATCTGGTTTACACCATAGTGACACACAAACACGAAATTTTAAGTCCTCGTAAAATTTACTTGTTTTTTATCCATCATTTCATCATGGTTATACATACCATTTTCCGGTATGTTTTATAATCTCTGAAATTTTACTAATTTTCTCATCTGGTTTACACCATAGTGACACACAAACACGAAATTTTAAGTCCTCGTAAAAATTTACTTGTTTTTATCCATCATTTCATCATGGTTATACATACCATTTTCCGGTATGTTTTATAATATCTGAAATTTTACTAATTTTCTCATCTGGTTTACACCATTGTGTCGCACAAACACGAAATTTTAAGTCCTCGTAAAAATTTACTTGTTTTTTATCCATCATTTCATCATGGTTATACATACCATTTTCCGGTATGTTTTATAATATCTGAAATTTTACTAATTTTCTCACCTGGTTTACACAATAGTGTCACGGAAGTTTGTCATTTCCTTTTATAAAAACACTAATATGACAGATCACACTTAAATTCTTTGACGCACAGGATAAATAAATAGCTGCATCTCGATCCGTTATAAATTACTTGGCACCGAAAACATTTGCTTTAATATTTCTGCAAGGTTTGTTAGAATTTGATTAGGTCGCTTATTTACTGAAAACTGCTTCAAATTATTGTTGAGATGTCTTCCAATATAAAAAGTAAAGTAAATTCACGAGGGAAAAGTTTATTCTAAAAAGCAAGAGACCGGTAAGATTATGTGTACGTTGACAGTAAATGAATTCTCAACCAGAGTTCTATCTGAACGTCAAGTTTATTTTTGAAGAAAAAAGAGCTATCGATTTCTCAAAGTGAAGCGCACAATGTGTACAGAAAGAAAAAACGTATTGCAGACAGGGTAAAAGAATGATAAACTTTTTGTACCCTCTTTGATTAATGCAGAAAATATTGACTAAATTTGAAATGTAACAGCTATAAATCACATGCTCTATAAATATTTTAGATTGATCTAATGTCATCGGAGAAGAGCCTCAATCCGATGGTTTTGCTATATCTTGATGGACATGGAACGGTTAAAGCTGCTGGTAATTCTTCTATCAAAAAGATTTTAGACTTGTGTAGAAGTTAAGAATTGAATTGGATTATTTTTGTGTTTAAAATACGATTGTCGGTATAGAAGTAATGTAATCAATTCATTTAAACAGGAACGCCCGGCCTTCGTCGAGAAATCTTGAATATTTCCCGAGATGCCATGTGCAAATATGTTGAAGACAATTCTTTGATTACAACTGACTCCCCAAGTACTAACTTTTATTTTGTTGTTTCTAAATTGTATAAAAACAAATAAAGGTGTCACAATGCTGCAATAAAGTCTGTATCATTTTATATTAGAAAGCTGTGAAGACGTTTATCAAGTGCAGGAGATACGCTCTGATCTTGTTGATCCTGATGCTTTGGAAGAAATAAAACAAGGGACTTGGTCGTGCAAAGAGCTACGGAAACTGGTTTTAAATATGGTTCTCCCAAGAACAGCTGACATCGGTAAAAACTATTTTTGTATATTTGTGAGTAACTAATTTCTGATATACAACGGCAGACCTCGTGAATTCAAGATTGGTTTTAGACAAGAAAGGAAAACGGAAGTGGAAAGTGGCTAGAGTGAGAGACTTTTGGCTTAAAGCAGAGAAACCGTTGTTTTGGCCTCCTCACATCCCATTTGTTTCGCCATCTGCCAGGATTAATCAACCTTCAGGTAAATCAAGTGAATCAATCTTCAATATTTTCATTGTTTTTATTTACATATTGTACACCATTCTCAGAGGATGATTACGATGAAGAAGAATTTGATGATAAAACAGAACGCTCGAGAAAAATTTTAAATAAGAAAGAACTGATAGAGATCGCTCTATCGTATGGAGAATACGTTCATGAAGTGAGTATTATTGTTGTAGATTTAGTATATAGAAGACAACTCACTGCTTCTCTTAACTTTTGTTTAATTAGTTTACTGGAAATGAAAAAAATGAAGAGACAACACAATCATTTGGTCAAGGAAGACAAGAGGTACACACTAACCATCTTTTAAGAAATAATATAAGAACATTTAAACACGAACTGCTATTTGCTTTTATTCCCAAGAAAACTAATCGAGATGCGAATGTTGGAAAAGATACGTATACAAGCGAAGAAGATAAAAGAAGTGATGAGAGCGAGAAAAGAGAAGATTTCGAAAACAAATTTGATAACGAAGCTGCATTAAATAACATAAAAGAGGATGAAAGGGTAAATGAACGTCCAGGAAATTACAAAAAACAGCGTACCAAAAATGAACGTTTTTTTCTATACCCATCAGGAAGAGGATACACAATTAGTGAATTTACAACAGATGAGAGACATGTACGAAAAAGTAAGAAAACTTTTAGAAACTCACATTTATTTTTTTAAATTTCAAAACGATACCACAATCCATTTTAGAGAGAAATAGCTTGTATTGTTCGCGCAATGTTAAAAGACCCCCTAAAATATGTTGAAACAGCCTACGAATTGTTGGACTTAGCTGATACACATCAACATCCTATTACGAAAAATTTAAAGTATGAAATGCTAATGTTTATTGACTGATTGAACGGTTCTAATCTAAATGACAATTTGTTGATTCCTTAATAATATTTGAGTAGGTCACACGAAAAGACCTCATGGGCGTTCCACATGATTACGACACAAGTTGTCCTGGAGACATTTTCAACGCTTTAAGCATTGATCCCAATAGACTTCAACTCGATTCATTTCTATACGGAGTTGCACATCAATGTCATTTGGCATCCGAAGTAATATTTTGCTCTGTAAATCTCTAAGTTTTTATTTATAAAAGAAACACATCTTTTCTAGCGCTCACGACAAACAAGTAAAGCAATTTCAAATGAAGAAATTATAAAAGAAATACAAGATTTCAACACTGAAGGTGAACATTCTCAAAATTCAAATCACGAAGAAAATTCTTTAATATTAAACAAATTTAGAAAACCTACATGACAAGCAAATTATTCCCTTTTTTAGAGGTTACCCTTACTAACACGCATGTTCAATGCATTGCTGGAGCACTTCGTGCGTCATTGGAAATATGGAGTCCCCAGTTTGAACTATTCCATATCTATTTTCCGTGTTTATGCCAAGTTACGGACAACGGAGGAATAGGCTACTTTAGTTTGACAGTTGGCAAAACTTTTCAAAATAGTTATGTATTTATGGAGCAAACATCTGAAAAGAGACCGACTAGAAGAAAAAGCCAGCAACTACAATCAGGTCAATAAAAATTGAATGTCTCATGTAAATGTTTCTATTGAATATGTGAAGAAAATTCCTGACGATAATAGAAAACTATATCTTTGACAGGAAAGAATGCAGTGAAGAGAGTGAAAGGTGACATTCATATATTGAAAATATTTGACAAAAGGAAAACGACAAAGGTAGCATCAATGCCTTTTAGAGTGAACTGTTTTGATGGCATTGTAATATACAAGAGTGATGTCGAAACATTAAATGGAAGCAAGTGGTTGTGTGATACCATAATTGACTTTTTTTTAAGGTAATGTGAAATGATTCAAATCTAACATATAGAAGGAAGCAATAAAAACTTTACAAGCTAACTTAAATTACATGAATGCAATAGGTATTACTGCAAAACGGCAGAAAGAAAAGACGATGGGGAACAATATTATGCCTTTTCTAGTTTTTCCAACAGAAACTACTCATGAAAGGACACGTGTAAGTGTCCGGTTAAGATTTCACCCTAGATTCTAGAGATAATTACATGTTATAATATTTGCAATTTTTCAGATCAAAGCGACCATTAGATCTTTCGGGATGCAACTTACATGGAGTGAGGAGATACACACCTAAGAACATGTATCAATATAAAATGATTTTTATACCAGTCTGCGACATGTAAGAATTTTACAAAGAAAATCAGTTTCTATAGTTCAATTCTATGAGATACTTGAGACATGATATATTTTAAAGGACACATTGGTGGCTAGTGGTCTTTGAAGTTTTGACAAGTCGTTTATACGTGTTGTGCAGCATGGGTTGGAAGAATAAAACTGTTGCTTCAAACATAAGAAGGTTGTTATTTCTATACATACTGAACTAACAGGTTGCCTCTTTTGATATGTACCGACATGTTTTCTAACTTCATAAACAGCTTTTTAACGTTAAGGTATCTCCAACACATAAAAGAAGAGCAACAATGGCCAGACCACATGGGAAGCATTTCAGAGCCTATTTATGCGGATGTAAGTCGAGTAATTGTTTGACAAGCATAAACACATTGATCTATAAAGTCAATGTATGGATATGTCACAAACGTTGTTATTTAATCACCATTCAGGTTGCAAGGCAAAAAAATGGTCACGATTGCGGCGTATATTTGTTAGAGTTTGCAAGAGTAATAATAAAGGAGGTATTTTGTTATGTAGACATTTGCTGTCGCAAAATACGCAAATAATTTAAAAGCAACATATTCCAGTATGTGACATATAACAGATAATTTTATCATATTTTAGGGATGCATCAACTCATCGATAGAAAATATAAACAGTGAGGGAAGACGTACGCAGCTAAAAGAGCTTCTTCAGTCCCTGTAACAGTCGACCTGTTTACACACAATGAAAAACAGGCGTTATATAAATGGTCAATGCTCGGCACATTTGTTCAATTACTTCTTCATATAAACTCTGATTGTGTCATGAGGTGCAACATTACTACTACATAGAATAATCGTGGAGTAAATATATATACTTAATAACTAATGAGTACCAGCATTATCCATAGACGTTGAAAAGCTATAATATCGTGCGAGTTATGATTTCAACATTTTAAAAATTGATTTCATTCATTTTCATATCCAAAATTTTTCATTATGCTATAAATGCGAAAAATATGAAGCTGTTTGAGGACAAAATGTTACAGCTATACGTTACGTAGACATGTCATAAACATGACGTATTTTCTTTAAAAATGATGAATTTAGAAAAATATTTCAACTGTTACTTAGACTTTTTTTGTTTGTTCCAAAGTGTTAGCATTTCGTTTCAACATGGTTCCCAATTAAATAATACTGGTTTTCAAATACTACTTATCTGATAATATTGCTGATTGCAAGAAACGTTTCTCTGGAACATCCCGTCCAGGATTGCATTTTATTATGCGCAACATGTTTCTGTACCAAATATACAATTTCGAAAATAGCAAAAAGTTGTCATATTCCATGTATGAAACCATTGACGCAAGTGGCTTCATTACAGAGTTACACTGCTCTGCAGCTTGGCTGTTGTGCGTTTTTAAAATGGGATATCTATTAATATCGTATCCCTCAGAGCAACCTATAAGAGTCAAAGATATGAGTCGTTTCAATTTCGACACACTTAGCATAATAAAATACGAGTTTTATACCAGAATGGTTTCTCCAATGAAACTTGTCGACGATGAATTTGGATTTTTAAAAAGCAGGATCGCGGTTAAGGCAGTACTCGTGTAGTTTGCACGCGTTGTCATAGATCACTAGTTCAGGAGCTAAACATTATAAGTTTATTTGTTTACAATTGGGAGTAACGAAACGCTAACAATTTCACAATTCTCATAAAAGAATGAGAAATACCTCAAAACTTCAAATTACCTTCAGAAAATCGAGTTCTTAAAATGGTAAAAGGAACATTGGGTGATTCATGATCGGGCATCACTTGAAAGCCGTAACAAATACCTAAAACAATAAAAAATCTCATAATTTTTCAATGAGGAGAGTTTACGGGATGAATTTTCCTGTCATTCTATGATCAAGAACATTAATGCTTCTTTGCCATACCGTGCGGACATAAAATAAGGAATATCCCAGGAATTAAAGACCCATGCTTCTTCTTTGAACGAACGCCTTTGGCACAATCATCTAAATGACCAGCTCTTTTGTGTCAAGAACATAGTGCCCACGTTCAACAAGAGAAGGCAAAGATGGAAAAAAACCTAACTGACCATCACACTGAACTTGGGGAAGGTTGTGGGGCAAACGCTCACACCCGTTTTGGTCAGTAAAAGGACTGGACGCTTTGGCGACCATTTCCCCACACAAAACACGTATGGGGTTTGGCAGCTCTGCAAAATGATTGCAAAGACAAAACAAGAGGGGGACCTGTTCGTGCAAAAGTTGTAAATCAGACAATGGATTGTCCTTTGGATTTGCTCCGTTGGCAATTCTGATCAACAAATCCTTCACCTCTCTCACAGGAGGTACAATTGCACAAACAGGTTTATCTGACGCAAGTGCTTTGAGAAGTCTTATGCAAGGTTCTGGAAACGTGACACCAAAATGTTCCTCTCTAAGGGATACGATTAGCATTTTAGGCCAGGAGATGAAATCTAAATAAACGAGCAATAGTAAAATAGCCTGTAAAAATAGCTACAACATGTTCTTAGCATATTGTACATCAATAAACAACTAACAACATTCATACTTCCGAGGTTAATTCCACGAGTTCGTCTTCTGTAATTTGGTTCTTTATAAATTTCTTCAACAACTCTCTCTGCCTCTTCCGATTGAGGAAGTTCCGCGTTTCGAACCTAGTGTTGGAAAAAATCCGCCCCAAAATAAAACACATGTCCAGCTAGCCAATGAAAAAATACACACCCAGAAAAAACACTTATCTTCCATCCATCGTAGGGCCTTCTGGGGAGCTACCTTACGAGGCAAGAAGGTTTTTTGGATACCAAGTGCCGTACCGTCCATAACAACTTTTTTCGGATGTTTTCCACAGATGTTACAATGAAAAGCGTCAACAAAGTCAATGTCAAGTAATCTAAATAGCGTAAAAAATCAGTGTTGTATCCAGCAAGGATTTTTTAGATCTATGGTTAAAAACCAATTAACATAGTTATTCTTAAAAGCGGATACAATACTGCCTGTTTTTGTCAACAAAATAAATAAGAATGCCATTTGATCTATTCAGTGTTGCCACTTCATAAGGAAAGTAAAATGATAGTAAATAAATGTTCAGACTTTCTTGGACATTAAAAGTAGGATAGTGTTTTCATTTTTTGTACCTCTCTATGTACCCTTTGTTGACCATTACCTACAGGTGGGAGCACCTCTGTGCACCTACACTCCCCACCCTTATCATAAATTCACCACCAATGAAATGATCAAATGCTAAACATACGTAAGTGCTACAGATATATATATATATTGGTAGCATACGTACTTTATCATTTATATTTAGCATTACAACAAAAGTTAATTTAAACAAACGAATATCCGATCAAATAAACTTTTAAATACATGTAACTCACCTAAAAATTGGTGCAGGTTGAAATAAAAAAAAGTTACCTAATCATTGCAGTAACTGCCAGACGAAACTTGGTGTAAGTTATAATGCCAGAAAAATTCAAATTTCCTGACATAACTTGTCTTTGGACGTACGTCACGTAATATTTATACATGGGCAGGCTAAACCATTTAAAAGATGAAAAGATATTTTCATGAATTCATAATTAATCATGTAGATAAAAATGTTTACTTCATACTTGATAACTGACTATCACACGTACCTTGAAACCAAAAAATGCCTTATATAATCTTTGAGGACTGCATGCGAAATGGAAAATGATCCAAACCACAAGACGTTGTTCTCGATACCATCGTACCGCTTCTTGTTTGTGCATGTAGAACACGGTCGATAATACACTAAAAATTCACAGAAGATTGTAGTCGTGACACTAATACAAAGAAAGTAATAAATAATTCAGTTTACAAACCATTCACACAGTGGAAATCATAAAGATACGCCACATGACAGCCTTCCACATCCAGCCAGTCATCTGATACATCACGCTTATCCCAAGCAGCACCACAAGAGCAAGTACCACAAGCACTAGGTACGAATATCTTTGACCAGTTCATAGCCAGAAGCTTAGCAAAATGATTGGCATCATTCTCATCACAACCTGTGTGAAAAATGAGTATTGAAATTTAAATGACGATTCCATGTTTTTTGGCCACCCATTACACAAACACACATATATTATTTCCATTTACTACACTACTTTACCTATTTCAAATAATTTAACTTTTTTTTCACTACGAGTTGCCAACTCGTAGTAATTTCTCATTTCAGGTGAGGTTTCAAAAGCTAACTTAAAATATGCTAGCTGCGAGTCGTCATCATCTTGTACGATTTCCAGCGCCTTCCCAAGAGTTGTAACATGAATGCAGAGGTAAGATGAACAATTAGAAC